TGGAGGGACAAAGGGTCAGGCAGCACATTTCTAATGCCTGATCAAGACACGCAGCACGTTGTTGGCCTGAACTTTCCAGTATTGCTTTAACACCCTCAGACCTTGCATTCCTGAGATGTTCTCAGCAAATTCCACCACCCCAGTGCTGGCTGGGAAGGATCGCTGGGGAAGATTTGTTTGCAGTGTGGGATTCCATTATGAGTGTGCTATGTTGGTAAAACCATTGAAGTCCACAGAGAACTGTCAGCAAGGAGTAGTGGTGTCCTTCTGTTAGCATTCAGAAACACATAATCATGGAATGATTATATGCAGGTGCTTTTATTGAAGAGCTCTGGGTGTCAGGGGCGCAGACCCAAATCTGCCTCCAACATGGGTTTGGGATGAACACGTTTTTATACCCTTATCATTATATAACTACATATTAATTATTAAACTCATATTGTTCTATTGTACACATTGATTTCATCCAAGCATGGATTCTTGTAATTTCCATCAAACCCCCCAAACATCATTTCTTATGATTCTTGTTATGATTAAACAATAATTGTATCAAACTACCAAACAATTATCACATTTAACAATCATATCATTTATCATACAACAATCGTATTGTTTATCATAGTTATTAAATTATTATACAGGTGCAGTTTCACATGATCCAGTAAAGCCTGATATTTTCCCAGGGCCTACCAACTCAGCTGAATATCCCATGATTTTAAAGACATCCCTATGCTATCACTCCTCAGTTAACACAGGGGACACTGGGGCAGCCCTCAGAGAGGTGTTGGGGCATGGAACTTGCACTGAGATCAGGGCAAGACAGGTGGAAGGGAGGAAACTTCCTCTTGTGTGGAGAACAGCATCCCAAAGGAGGTTTCTGGGCTCTACAAAATCCAGGTGACAGCTCTAAGCTCTGGACAAGGTGTGTGGGATCTCGTGGGAGGGCTGTTCTCAAGCAGAGAAGGAGCATAGGTATGGCAGAGGTGTTCATTGGGGCTGCTCTGCAGGTATTTCAGCAGCAAATGGGAAATGAAATTTGAGCTGTGTACAAAAGTTTGTTCCTTGTGTGATCCTGAGCATTTGGCTATAAAATCATGGCATGAAAATACAGTTTAAACGAGGTTTAGCAGGGGCCACCTGCATTAGCCACCTGGGCCCATTCATGCATGACTACTGGTTTATGGATAGTTGGGAAATGCTAGGAATATTTCTTCAAGACATCCTTGCTCCCCCTTTCTCCAGGCTGAGCCCCCTTCCCAGCTCCCTCAGCTACTCTTCATAGGACTCACTGTCTAGACCCTTCCCCAGCTTTGTTGCCCTTTTCCGGACATTCTCCAACCCCTCAAATGAGGAGTGTAAAAAGATTCCCACTGAATTCATATATAAACTGGAGGGGAGGGAAGAGGGATGTATCCCAGAGCCCCTGGTGGCACTGGTGTTGTCCCTGCTAAAACTTCTAAAGGCCAAGCTGAGCAAGGAAGAGAGAGTGACAGGACTCCACGTTGGTGCTCTCCAGGTATTTGATTCACTATTTCCAGCCCACACGGAATCATCTTCACACTTCTGTATCCCAGACACCGCTGCACTTCCTTGAGAAAGGAAATTATGTCCTTGAAGGAGAGTCAGACCTGCTTGGTCAGCACAAGGCACTTTGAGACACCTATCTGAGAGGAGCTGAGGGTCTGTTAAAATGGGAAGAGACAGGTTTTTCTCTTACTCCCACACTTGAGGAGTAACTCTGGGTGAATGGCACTGAGATAAGAGTGAGCAGAAACAGATGTGGAGCACAGCTACAAACAGGATGTGAAAATAAACTCATTACTCCATCTGCCCACCGTAAACAGCATGAAATTAGCAGGGAGTGAGGAATAAAACTCCAGACAAATGGCTTTTTAAAGGGAGCAGAGGGAGCTGGAAGGGCTGCTATTAGAAAAGCAGAGACACAGAAAGTCCAAGCCACACACAGCTCTGTGCATATCCCAATTCCCTGGTTAGTCAAGGAGGAGGAAAATCCCACAGCACAGAGTCTGCCAGGAGCTATTTTTGAAGGCAAAGCCAGAAAGGCCACTCCATCTTTGGGAGAGAAGACCTAATATTGCTCTTGTCCCTGCCTGTTAGGAAGCACCATCAATTTTATAAGTCATGGAGATTTATTTTTTTCCTTAAGAGGTGCTGTCTTAATGTTGCATAAAATTACTCTCTCAGGGGCAGTGTGAGGAGAAAAACGTGGCGTTATGTTGTCTCAGTTGCAAAGACACCGCTAACAATAAAAGCTCCTGAATGATTTGGTTTTTAAGTGACACAATTACAGAACGGGTCATTCATGACACTCCAAGTGGCTTCAAGCACCTCTGTCATAAAGTCTGAAAGGAGATGCTTTATGCTGTGGGTTTGGGCTGTAAATATTCACCCCTGGCCTTTGTTCTATGAAGCAAGGCTTGGTTTGAAGGTATATTTACTTAAAATTTTGCAAGAAAATTTCTCAAATGGTCAATCTGCTTGATTTATTTAAAGTGAGATCCCAAAGTGTTTTACAGCTTTTACAGGCTGGTTGTGTTTATAACCATCTTGGGGAGTATCTTCTGCAATTCATGTAGCGGAGAAAGGGAAGGAAGGTCATAATTTCTGTTTTAACCTACTTTTCTAGCAGCTGACAGGACACTGACAAAGTCATCTCTTCTGGAATACAACCTGCTGGGCTTTATCCTCATTCAGAGGAGACCCTTTGGAAAAAGCCAGACTAAAATAAGTAAAGTATTTTTTCCTTTATTCCTATGGATTCTGCTCAGATATGTTCTCTAGCTCATTTTATGGATCTCAGTGAATTTGCAAATTGCCCAAATGATATTTCAAGGAAACTGGTTGCCTGTGTTCGAAGTTCTTCAGTATATGACAGCCCAAGGCAGAGTTTCCCACATGTTGGAAATAATTTCTCTCTCCATGTTTGGCAGATCCAAACAAGCCTTGAGTGCTAAATAAACTAGGTCTATGAATAAATCAGGGGCAGGAGAACGCAAATTTGAGATAGTGTGAGATTTGAAATACCTGAAAGCTTGACATTGGCCATGAGGCACTTTGAAATAGTCTGCAGTTAGATGAAAGGTTTTTCATTTGAGATTCCACTGGGATACTTCAGGAGGAAGCCTCCTAGTGGGTTCATCCAAAGTTTGTAATAAACATAATTGAAGTATCTGAACTCCAGCTGCTACTTTCTACTCTAATCAAGAGCAACAGAGGCAGCTCCTTCTTAGCAAACACACTGTGACTGCTGAGGGAACAGAAATGGATCTCCTGGGCTCGCGTGCTCAACTGGGAGGTGCAGAAATTAAGGAGAGGTAGCAGTTGGAAGGCTGAAAAGGGAACTTTATGAAGAGACCTGTAGAGTCTTGGAGAAAGCAGAGATTTCATGAAGCTCTCAGAGATGGAGATCAGGGACTCACATTTTTCTCAGGAAGCAGGATTTTCTAATATTGTCCAAGCTGGGTCTCACCAGAAGGAGACACCGGAGAGAGTCAAAAAAGCAGATGGTCTTTTCTGTCCTTTCCCTTCTGCTTCCTACCCAAAGGGAAGACAAGTTATGTTAGAGACAGAGAGTTTTCCTTTGGGAAGTATTGGAGAAGTCCTTCAAGGTCATAACAGCAGTTTCTCTTTGGATAGTACAGTAGGATCCAAAATTATTGTACAGGCACTGGAACTGATTCTCCCCTTCCGTAAACCAGGTCTGCCTCTTCCTCACTCTCCCAAGCCATGGAGCAGTCCTGCTTGACCTATGTCAAATGCTCCAGATCATCACACCAGTCCCCTCTCTGCCACCTGGGTGCCACACAACCCCATCCTGCTGAGCACATCTGAGCAGGGCTGAGCTGCTGGCCCTGTCCTTTGCCAGGAGCAGCAATGCAGCCCTGAGCCTTGGGCTGAGCACATCCCAGGAGCCAGCCTGGACATGTCCAGCCTGCTTTAGCAAGGAAGAGCAATAAATAACAGGGGATTGGTCTGCTCTTGGCACTGAGGCACAGCACCACTGAGCCCTGATGAGCTAATGTATTGGTGCATGTGTAGCAATACCATCTTTCTCCCATGCTTTGGGCTCTCCTCTCCAAATGGAGAACACAGCATTTTGTGTTGGTAAAGGAACTCTGAAGACAATTTACAAAAGCTTGGAAAAAGCCAAGACAGAAACAGTGGGAGTCCTGGGGAGATGGTGACAGTGAACAAGGGCCAACTCCTGGGATATATGTGGGCTGACTACATGTCAAAACACCCACACAGAGCCATTTATAGCTCCAGGAAGGTGTAGGCAGTTAAACCATATTCAAGGAGCAGAGGCCAGGGTCTCTGTAACATTGGGCTACTGTTAACTTTGGAGGACAGAAATGAGATAGAGAGCTGGGAAAGAAAGGATTTGAAAATATTTTTGTTCTCCAAGAAGGAAAAATCAACCACCAGGAACTGGTCAAGTTTCTGTCACTTACAATCCTGCTAGCAGGCTGATCCTGTCATAGAACCATGGAATGATTTGGGTTGGGAAGGACCTCCAAGCTCATCTGGTTCCAACCCTCTGCCACAGGCAGGGACATCTTCCACTACCCCGGTTGCTCAGAGCTCCATCCAGCCTGGCCCTGAACACTTCCAGGAAAGGGGCATCCACAATTTCTCTGGGCCACCTGGAAGAAGGAGACTGCGGGAAACACACGCCATTTCCCGGGGGACACACGCCATTTCCCGGGGGGACTGCGGGAAACACACGCCATTTCCCGGGGGACACACGCCATTTCCTGGGAGACACACGCCATTTCCTGGGGGACACACGCCATTTCCCAGGGGACACACGCCATTTCCCGTGGGGCTGCTCCGTGGCAACGCCATTTCCCAGGGGACACATGCCATTTCCCAGGGGACACATGCCATTTCCCAGGGGACACATGCCATTTCCCGGGGGACACATGCCATTTCCCGTGGGGCTGCTCCGCGGCGCTGACCGCTCTCCCCTTCCCTTGCAGAAGGCATGGCGGCAGCGGTTGGCGCGAGCAGGGACTGCCTGCAGGCGGGCGAGGCCTGCACCACCGACCCCGTGTGCAGCGCCAAGTTCCGCACGCTGCGCCAGTGCATTGCGGGCAACGGCGCCAACAAGCTGGGCCCCGATGCCAAGAGCCAGTGCCGCAGCACCGTGAGCGCCCTGCTCTCCAGCCAGCTCTACGGCTGCAAGTGCAAGCGCGGCATGAAAAAGGAGAAGCACTGCCTGAGTGTCTACTGGAGCATCCACCACACGCTGATGGAAGGTCAGTAGAATGGGGCTCATTTCTGGAATTGCTTCTAAAAGGGAGTTGCTCGCGGGCCGTTCTACAGAGCTCCCCAGCTCTGAGGTTGCTGCAGAATACCCCTCTGTGATCTATCTCAAGACATGCGGATCAGACCCAAGGGAGCAGCATGGAGCTGTGTTAGGGCAGGTTTAGGTGGATATCAGGAAAGGTTCTTCCCCCAGAGGGTGGTCAGACACTGCCCAGGCTCCCCAGGGAATGGGCACAGTCCAAAGGCTGCCAGAGCTCCAGGAGCATTTGAATAACGCTCTCAAGTACAGGGTGGGATTGTTGAGGTGTCCAGTAGGGCCAGGAATTGGCCTTGAGGGTCCCTGTGGGCCCCTTCCAACTCAAGAGATTTGATGATCCTATTGATCCCCATGGTATTGACGTTTTGTAAAAGCACTACTGAAATCCTGAGATGCCTCCTTCCTTTTTCTTTTTTTTTTTTAACCCAGCCTTTCTTTTATGACATTCCCAATATACATTGAGACCTTTTGCTGGAGAAATGCACAACGTATTTTGTATCTAAGTATGTTAACCAAGACCATAAACACTGTAAATTTTATAGAAACACAACATAAAGCATAGGTATTGAGGAAAAACAGCATGAACTTCAAAAAAATCACTCTCTTAGAATGTCTGAAGTGCATCAGTGTCTTTGTGTTAGTGAAGATTTGGGGCTGGTGACATCAAGTTGGAACTTAAAGTGTTCCCAGAGCCAGTATTCAATAAGTTTGGATTTTGACGTTTTTTAAGAGTCACCATAAAATTGCACCTCAGTGACCATAACTCTTCTTTGTCAGGCTGGTGAGTATTTTATGCACCATGAAAATTAAAATGGGGAATAAAACAGACCCTTACAGCCATGGGTTGTGAAGTGGATTAATAAAACACTCCTGGCTGATACCTGAAAGGAAAAGTGCAGGGGTGAAACCACAGACCAAAAGGCCAAGCAAAACAAAGCAAATGGACAAAGCAGTGCACAGGCTTTCCAGGATGGGAGCTGGTTGATCAAATTCCTGGGAAGCTTCCAGGTACCACAGCTGGCAGGGTGCAGAGCATGGTGCTATGAACTGACTGGGCAAATACAAGACCTGAGCACCCTCCAGTACCTGGCCTTTCTCACAATTAATGCCAGATTTGTTTCCATTGAAGGGAAGTCTGGGGAAGAGGTGGCAATCCATTTTCTCCATTCTTCTTAGTGGGTGGTGTCACAGCCCCTTCCCAGCTGACCTTGATGGCTCAAACTTGAAAACAGGTCACCTGTGACATGGCTGTGTAGGGCAGTGCTGTTATGAGGGTTTCCAGCTCTGGGACACAGAGCTTTATGTTGGAAGGGACCTGAAACACCCTGGAAATTCCAAGCCCCTGCCATGGGCATGGAGAACACCTACCTCTAGAAGGAAGAGAAGAGAGAGGCTGGCAAGGAGTGCTGAGAGCAGGCAGGGGCCAGCTCTGGGTCTCCAGATGCAGAATAGGAGTTTGGTGCTGGATGTTCTCCCTGCCCAGTATGTTGGGACTTCCACCTTGGGAATGCCTGGGAGAGGGCTGTTCTTGGAGGCTGACAACAGCTCTACTCCACTTCTCCGCTGTCATGTCCTGAGCCCCACACTTTTTCAAACTGACTTCATTTGCAATGCAGATTTGCACACCAAACTTTTGATTTCCTTGCCTTAATTTCCCCAGGGAAATATATTTCGTAGCAGTCCCATGTTTCAGAGTCCTTACACATGTTTAATTGACTGAGAAAGGAAGCCAATCCACACAGTCCATGTAGAGTTTTGTTTCTCAATCACACATACCCAGGAGGCTGCAAAAAGCTTCTTAGAATCCCTCTTGCAAAAACAATTGTGGAAGTGCGTGCTCAGGGAATTTACAAAGCACACTATTTACTCAGCTTCTCTTGAGCACACCCGTGTTTAGCCACCTTCCCACTTAGAGACACAATAACATGATGACAACCCGATAACAACTCTCTGATAAGGTGCTTTATCATCAGGACATGAAACTGCTATGCTGGAAAATACAAATGGGCCCCTCTCTAGTCAGTAACGATGCAAGATATTTCAATGAAGGTGTAAAGCTGCCTTGTAATGCGCCGGTGGTAATTGCACAGGGCTGTGGACACGGGGAGCCATTTCTTTATGCCTCTGCTGCCTCTTGCTGCAGCTGGAGGTCAGCACACGCCCAGAGCGTGAGGCTGGATAGTTCTTCTATCCCAGCCAGTACATCTGCTGCTGCTGTACACATCCATCTAAATGTCTAATCAAAAAACAAACAGATACTGAGTTGTTTGCTTCAGTAATATTCCATGGTATCCATCAGGCTGATGGGGCATTACAGACCATTGCACAGATGAAAGGGAAGCACCAGTTGAATAAAATCAGGCTCCCAGAGACTTAAAAATGACGAGAGGAAGTTTCTTTAGGAGCTGTGGGTCATTAGCTTTGTGCCAAGTGAGAAAAGGCTGTCGGCAAGGAGAAAGGGAGAGGTGATAGTCAATATGGAGTGTGTCATCACCCACATAATCCTGTGCACAGCTCTGTCTGTGTCCTAAAAACAGGTGAGGACCTTTGACTCAGGGAGGGACATAGAAGAAACTGCAATAATGGTGACAGGAACCCTGTGTATGAGTTCTGCCCTTGAGCAGGAGCCTGTGCTACAGTCTGATGTCCTCTCTGGCAATCCCTGCAATGTGCCCCATAGCTTGAGCTACAGAGCTGCCACTCAACAGTTCCTGACAGGCTGCCCCACTCCAAAACAGAGATACATTTTTAAAGCCTGTCACATTCTATTCCCTTCTCCAAGGATGTGTCCACACACCTGTTCCCATGGCTCTGAGTGTCCATTTGCTCGTGGCCTTCAGAGCATAGTCCGCTTGGACCCACCAAACAATCTTTCACTGCAGATGTTGAACCTTGTGCATCTCAGCCATCTCTCAGGAGCCTCATCTGCCTTCTCACCAGCTTCTCTCTTTCCCCCAGGCATGAATGTCCTGGAGAGCTCCCCTTACGAGCCGTTCATCAGGGGCTTTGATTACGTCCGGCTGGCATCCATCACTGCAGGTAGGTGGGTGGGAAATGCTCTGACACCTCCTGTGCAGGCAGGGAGGGCCCTGGCTGGGGGTCAGGGGCTGCAGACAGGGAAGTCCTTTGTGCTCCTTGTGAGCATTGCATGGGTCAGGTCTAGCAGTTGTTTTTTCCAAGGAGTTCCCTCTGATTCCTTTGCTAAACTGTTACATGTTCTGGGAAAAACTGCTTGTGATTTTTGTCTTTTTGGATGTTTCATGTCTGTACTATGAAGGACTGGGACTTAGATGTGCTACAAAAACCCCTTCCAATGACCCATCCCAGGCACACTCATTCTCCATAGCAGGTGGATGATCTGTTCCATGCAGACAGCTCATCAAACAGGAGCTGCGTGGGCATTTTTAGGTTTGGGAAGGTGCTTCCACATCAGTCACGGGATTGAACTCTGCAGGAAAAGAGGTCAATAGCTCAACCTATGTGTTGATCCCAGCCACAGCCTTTAACCACCTGCCCTGAGGGTAACCTGAGGACCCAGAGCCGTGTTCTGCTGTACATCTAACCCTGTTAATGGCTGAGCAGAGCAGCCTGACACCTTTTAACTGCTCGAGGGCTCAGCAGTTCAAAGGTCAGTGTGGCCACCAATAACCCATCCATCACCAATGGCACAGCTGCCACCACAACCAGCCTGTGCTCCACAGCTTTCCAAGAGGAAGCTTGGAAAGGAGCAGGTATTTTACCAAACTACCTGTCTGGGAGCAGGTAATGTGCTGCTCCTGTGTCTCTGGCAGATGTGCCCAAACAGCTTTCCCAAGTGTGTGCCTTGCTCTGGGGTGACATGCACAGCTGGAGTGCACCCAAGCGAGGAAGGAGCAGCGTGTCCCTGCAGCAGAGAATGTCTGCAGTCCCCACCATGGCCAGGCGCTTTTTGGGTGACAATGTGCTGCAGCAAATTAACCCATCAGCCCTGGACAAGGGGAGCAGAGGGGATGGGAGGTGCTCCCTGGCCTCGCTCTTACTGACTCCACCTGGCAGATTGGTACATGGACAGGGAATTTTTTTGCTGGGACATGGTTTTCTTTACTGGAGCTTTTCCCCTTCTGCTGAGTCCCAGAAGGCTTCAGAGCATGGGGAAATCAAGGGATGGGGATTTTTACACGTGGTTAACACATTCTCAGGTTTTTAAAGCAAATTGAAATAGGTTGTGCAGCAAAATGAAATGGACCCAGAGCAGCAGGGATTCTTCAGAGGATTTGGCATGCACTTAGGGACACTAAATTTCTTAGCCTTTTTGTCCTTATTTATATTAATCAATATCTTCTATTACATAACTTATGACCTGCTGCCCTCTGCCTGTCCAGTGTCCAGGGTCAAGTGGTCAACACTGCCAAAGGACCCTCTTTCAAATCTACCAAATGAAATCCCAAGAACTTGTTGAAACATAAGACACCCCTGTGACCATAGGCCAAATGAACAACAGGTATATTAAACTAAATTTTTCATAAACAATATATGGCCACTACTAAAACTGTAGAAATGGAACCATATCTCTCCACTCTAATTGTAGCAGTGATTTAAAAAGCACATCCGCTGGTGTTGCGTGGGAAGAGCAGAAAATCCAGCATGTTCCCTTTGATTTATTGGCTGAATGGGTAATGAAACCCTTCCAAGTAACTGTTTCCTACACGTTAGCTGGCAGCTTCCCAGCATAAACCGATGCTCTGAAAATATTCATCTCTGAACAGTTTTAAAGGTAAGTGTTTAGTGAAGGGATCACAACAAGCGAAAGTTTCACCCACCACAAAATAACTGAGAAACTTGGAATTTGACTTCCAGCTCACTGTAAGCAACAGGGGGCAACAGGAAGGAAAAAATAAATGCTGGGAGAAGGAGCATCTGATAAAGTCAGGGAAATAAAGGAGGGCAGCCAGCTCTGAAAGGCTCAGGGAGACTGTCAATGTTTTAACACTTGTCAGCAGCAACTGGCTGGTTTTAACTCCCAGTCAAAGATAGGGCTTGACTCTGCATTGAAAATTTATCATTCTGGGGATTTTTCCTCAGTGGAAAAATCTTTCTCTGCTGGGGAAAAAGTCCTTCTGGTATGCTGCTGGTCATGATTTTAATTCAGAGAGGTGAAAACGAGCTTCAAATTCATCTTCTCTCTCAAGCTTGAAGGACCTTTTCTTTATCTGTTCAATCAGACACATTCTGATGTTCCCACTGACTCCTGCCAGGGACACTGTAGCATTTTTCCCCTCTATAAAACAGACCCCCATCCACCTTTGAAGCAGCCCTACATCCAGTGTTAGACAAATGCCTTTTCCTCTTCTTTTCTCTATTTTCACAGAGAAAGCTGTTGGCATATAAACTCACGAGATCACTTACTTTCCCACTGAAGACACTGTTTTTCTCACCCATCACTACAGTTTTTGCTTTATGTTCCTGACCTTTCCCCTTACTGCAGGTTTCCTCCACTTTCCCTGCATCCCACAGCACATCTCTGCTCTCCCACCCAGACTGGGACATTCTTTCTCCTCTTCTTTAGGACAGTGGACATGCAGAGTGATTTTGCTGATATAAGTGAGGGGTGACCCTGCAAAGGGTGTGGGGAGAGACCCACATGCCCTCACGTGCAGATAGCATCGGGTCCCAGGGGCACGAAGCTGGATGGTACCTCTGATCCCAGCCTGTGAAGGCACTGTCACTGCTGGGGACAGGGGGATACTGGCTCAGACTGGTCTGCATGGGGCACTCTGCGACCCAGACAAGTCTCGCTTAGCTGGGCAGATCCTGGGGTGAGCAAAAAGAGCTGCTGCCAAAGCCAGACATGACCTTTCAGAGGCCAGAAGAAATTCCCTGTCCAGGGCAGTGAGGCTGAGGTGCCAGGAATTAGTGCAGACCACCTTGTAGCAGAGACTCAGTCTTTGATCTTGAACAGCTTGCAGAAACAAGAAGGTCCATTAGTGGAGGTCCCAACACTCAACAGATCCACTCATGGCCATAAGTAGATGGACTTTCTAATGCCTGCTGTCTTCCAGGCCTCAGGCTGGTTAATCTGCGTTAGTAAAGTGTTACCAGATGATCAGATTATAGCAAAATTTGTTTTATTAAAGCTATGAGCTTGGTGAAGTGAGCTCCGGGAGGTGAAGTCTGGTATGTGACTGTGGCACTTCTTGGGAAAAGATGAGTGTGGAATGGGGATTTGGTCCTACCGGGACGTGCAGAGCGAACCTGCACTTTACCCTGGCTGGAGCGGGTGTGGTGTCACAGGGTAGCCATGGGTGGGAGCGGGGCCATGAAGGCCTCAGGGGTGGTGCTGCTGGTGGGGAGATCAGCACAGCACCACCTCACCGTGTCCCACCACCCCACAGGGTCTGAGAACGAGGTGACACAGGTGAACCGGTGTCTGGACGCCGCCAAGGCCTGCAACGTGGACGAGATGTGCCAGCGGCTGCGCACGGAGTACGTCTCCTTCTGCATCCGCCGCCTGGCCCGGGCCGACACCTGCAACCGCTCCAAGTGCCACAAGGCCCTGCGCAAGTTCTTCGACCGCGTGCCCCCGGAGTACACCCACGAGCTGCTCTTCTGCCCCTGCGAGGACACGGCCTGCGCCGAGCGCCGGCGCCAGACCATCGTCCCCGCCTGCTCCTACGAGTCCAAGGACAAGCCCAACTGCCTGGCGCCTCTGGATTCCTGCCGGGACAACTACGTCTGCAGGTGATGCTCACAGCAGGGCTGGTCCCCACGGAGAGCCCTCCCTTGGGCCAGGGCCTGGTGACAGCCCTGAGCCACTGCCCTCAGTTGCAGGGTGCTCCTGGGGCACATCCCCACAGCCATGACAGGCCGTGCCGCCATGGGCCCTTCCATCAGCCCTGTCCTTGTATCCTACAGAACGTGTTCACAGGCAGAAGGGGATGTGAGATGGTCACACTGAAGCTGTTTAGACATTTTCTGTGGATTTTGGGCTTTGGTTCTAGAGAAAGACCTATTATGGAAACAGTTCCAGGAAGGTGCAGACTAAACAGGAATATGGGGGAGAGTCCTTACAGCCACTTTCACCAATCCATCTCCCTCTGCTCCTCTTCCCCAGCCCAGAGCATCCTCAAGGAGCACCCAAGGTATCCTGACAGCCACAGGCACTTGTGAAGGCCTTAAAACCGTGTTTGTTGTCTTGCTTGTTTAATTAGAAAAATTAATCTATATACATAAAAAATACACCCTTCTACTGCGAGGCTGTGTTGGAGAGACCTTATAGCACCTTCTAATACCTAAAAGAGCCTACAGGAGAGCAGGAGAGAGACTCTGGACAAGAGCAAGAAGTGACAGGACAAGGGAGAATGGCTGGAAACTGAAGGACAGTAGATTTAGATGGGCTGTTGAGAAGGAATTCCTGGCTGGGAAGGTGCGCAGGGTGCCCCTGGATCCCTGGCAGTGCTCAAGACCAGGCTGGACAGGACTTGGTGCACCCTGGAGTAGTGGAAGTTGTCCCTGCCCATGGCAGGGGGGTGGAACAAGATGATTTTTAAGTCTTTTCCATCCCAAACCATTCAGTGATTCAGTGATTCAATGATTCAGTGATTCAGTGATTCAATGATACTGTGATTCAGTGATTCAGTGATTCAGTGATTCTGTGATTCTGTGTTTTGGTGATTGCTCCAGGAGTCTCAGAGTCCTGGTGCTATTCCAGATCCACTGCGTAGTCTTTTCCATCCCAAACCATTCAGTGATTCAGTGATTCAATGATTCAGTGATTCAGTGATTCAGTGAGTCAGTGATTCAATGATACTGTGATTCAGTGATTCTGTGATTCAGTGATTCTGTGATTCTATGTTTTGGTGATTGCTCCAGCAGTCTCAGAGTCCTGGTGTTATTCCAGATCCACTGCACAGTCTGTGCCAGCCTGGTTTGCTCCTCTGCTTCCATCCAGCCCCAATCACACACACAAAAACCCATCCCGTGTGCACACTGACAGCAGAACCCCTTCAGTGCTTTTCCTTCATCTGCACTATTTTCACCTCCCTGTTTCTCAAAAAGTCTTTGATGTTCCGGAAGGTTAATGCACACAGAGCCCTCGGGAGCAGAGCCCAGCTGGCAGTGAGAGATGTAAGGCAATAACAGCACCACGGGGGCCCAGCCCAGTGCCCTGCGTGCAGCTGGGCTGCGAGCAGACACCTGGGGAAGAGCACAAGAGCAAGTGTAGGACACACCTCCCTGTATTGTCTCAGTCTCTAATTGCTGTGGGGTTTGGGACTTCCTGAGCTGAACTTCCAGCAGCCATCCCCTACCAGCACAGCATCTTTTAATTACAATAAAAATATTATGTATTTTCACAGAGGAAGGTGAGAGCAGCAGCATCCTCTTGGAAGCATGAAAGTACAAACACCCTCAGCACTGTGCACCCCAGAAACATGGAGGCAGGAGAATGGCTGAACTGTGCACAAGTAGACTCTGAAAGATGCAAAGCCCCTGGACTGACCAGGCCCTGCTCAGATGTTGTCCCCTGGCTACCAGGGAATCCAAAATGGACGGGTACCAGCCTCTCCCTAACATGACAAGAGGGCCCAGAGGGAGGAAGAGGTTCAAAGGGGAGAGTGCTACTCCCCTGGAGAGTGGAAACTATTTCCTGCAAGCAACACAGCTGTTAATTATCTGGTCCCTTGGTCTCTGAATATATAATATAAAATATCCTCTAGAGACACAGAGGGAGCAAGAGGTTGACATGTGACCTGGTCAAAGCCAGCAGTACAGAATCCACAGGGAGAGCCAGGAATAAATCATAAAGAAATAGAGTGAAACACTCCAAGTCTCACCCTGTCTGCACAGCTCTAGCCCTTTGAACCTCCCAGCTCAGAGGGGTGGGTTCTACTAATACGGATTATATAAAAGCTGCAGTCACTATCTCCCTTCTCAAAATCTCCAAACAATGCAGCAAGTTTTGGGAAAGAAGATTTTGCCTGTCCATGTTACAGGAGAAAAGTGTTGATAAGAGGCAAATAAGGGAACAAAGATGAGAAAAAAAGAAGGGTGTAGGGGAGAAGTGGGCTGGAAAGTGCAGACTGGAATGCTGACTCTGACCAGGAGCAAGAGCAATGTGTCTGGAAGAGAGAGGATGTCTGGGAGGAGAAACATGCTCAGTTGCTCAGTTTTTCTGAGATTGCCCAGGCAGGGTAAACATTTGAGGTTCTCAGTTCTCAGCTCAGACAGTGCAGGTTGTCAGTGCTGGTGCTTGCTTGAGTTTCCAAAGCAGCTCAAATGCCACATGAAATCCCTTCCTGCCTGGCCTCGGAATGAATGTTGAGATGGATCAGGGTCTCCAGCTGTTGCTGTGTCCTGCCTGAAGGCTGTGTGTTGATGCTCCTACAATCCTACGATCTCCAAACACCACCATGTGCCAAGAGCTGACTCATGCCTAAAGAGTTTGGTGGCAGATAACTGGTTGGCAGAATGATTTGCCTGCTCCACAGGCTCCAGAGAGTCCTTCTCCTGAGAGTGGGCATCAGCAGGAGCCCTGGTGATGGATAGGACATTTCATGTCTGAACCTCTGGACATTTCCCTTGATCTGAGGTGACCTCAGCTGTATTTAGAGTCTTTAGAGACAGAAACTGGACCAGAGCAATTCTCTGTTTCATCAAATCAGACTAGAAATGAAAGCTGGGGTGTTTAGGCAAAGTTATTACCCAAAAGATAGAAAATGGCAACACAGACTGATTTCCTTCCTGGCATTAGCTCTTCCCTCAAAAACCAGCTTCACACAACAGAAAGCAAACATTTCTTCCAAGACTGGACTTATCTTGCAGTCCTGGAGGAAGCCTGTAAAACACTGACTGCAGAACTTGTTCAAAACCTTCTCCTGGGTTTGTTGGGGTAGGCAGGAGGTTGTAAAAGGACATCTGTTCCAGCTGTTTGAAGAACACCTACAGCAGCACTTTGTGTTCCCCTCTGTGAACACCACACTGCAGAACTTGTTCAAAACCTTCTCCTGGGTTTGTTGGGGTAGGCAGGAGGTTGTAAAAGGACATCTGTTCCAGCCCTTTGAAGAACACCCACAGCAGCACTTTGCAAAGGTGTTCCCCTCTGTGAACACCACGAGTGTGCTGTTACATCCCCTTTGCCGCAGTTACCTGAGGTAACGTGTCCCGTTTTGTGCTCTGGCTCTATCAGGTCGCGCTACGCAGAGTTCCAGTTCAACTGCCAGCCATCCCCACAGGCCGCCAGCGGCTGCCGCAGGGACAGCTACGCTGCCTGCCTGCTGGCCTACACCGGCATCATCGGTAAGGGCCGGCTGCTCCGGCTGCTTCCCGGCTCGGGATGATTCAGTGATTCAGTGGAGGGAAACCTGGCCCCTGGGTGGGAAACCTCTCCTCTGGGTGGGAAACCTCTTCTCCAAGTAGGAAATGTCTCCTTTGGATGGGAAACCTCTCCTCCAAGTGGGAAATGTACCCTCCGTGTGGAAAATGTCTCCTCTGGATGGGAAACCTCTCCTCTGGGAGGGAAACCTCTCCTCTGGGTGGGAAACCTGTCCCCTGTGAGGGAAACCTCTCCCCTGGAAGGGAAACCTCTCCTCCAGGTGGGAAACCTCTCCTCTGGGAGGGAAACCTCTCCTCCGGGTGGGAAACCTCTCCTCCAGGTGGACAATGTCTCCTCTGAATGGGAAACCTCTCCTCTGGGAGGGAAACCTGGCCCCTGGGTGGGAAACCTCTCCTCTGGAAGGGAAACCTGGCCCCTGGGTGGGAAACCTCTCCTCTGGGAGGGAAACCTCTCCCCTGGGTGGGAAATCTGTCCCCTGGGTTGGAAACCTCTCCTCTGGAAGGGAAGCCTCTCCTCCAGGTGGGAAACCTCTCCTCTGGGAGGGAAACCTCTCCTCCGGGTGGGAAACCTCTCCTCCAGGTGGACAATGTCTCCTCTGAATGGGAAACCTCTCCTCTGGGAGGGAAACCTCTCCCCTGGGTGGGAAATCTGTCCCCTGGGTTGGAAACCTCTCCTCTGGAAGGGAAGCCTCTCCTCCAGGTGGGAAACCTCTCCTCCAAGTAGGAAATGTCTCCTCTGGAAGGGAAACCTCTCCTCCAGGTGGGAAACCTCTCCTCCAGGTGGGAAATGTCTCTTCTCAGTGGGAAACCTCTCCTCTTACTCTGACTATGAGGACAGTAAGGTGGAGAGCTGAGCTCTCCGGGACATCACAGAGTCATGGAATGGTTTAGGTTGGAAGGGACCTGTAAAGCCCATCTCATTCCAACCCTCTGCCATGGACAGGGACACCTCTCACCAGACCAAGTTGCTCCAAGCCACATCCAGCCTGGTGTGGGTCTTTCTCCCTTCAGTAACATGACTAAGCTATGGGTATGGGGTAACTTTAGGACAGCTGCAGTGGAGGGAGAAAAAACCATGGGCTACTGCAAGATTCGAGCTTCTCTCTCTAGTGGAAATAGACAGGCTGTCCCAGGGTGTCTGCTCTGCCAGGGATTCCCTGATGCCATCACCAGTGATGCCGCTGGAAATCACCATGCACTGCCATTCTGCCAACTTCAGAGGGTGTCAGATCGGGGTTTCAGATGCTGCAGAGCCCAGCTGGCAGCAGTTGGCACAGCACAGACAAGAGCCCAAAGAGAAGTGCCAGTGGCCTTTGGACCAGGTCTGTCCCAATAGATGAGACAGATTGACATTTTTGGGCCAACATTTCATTCCATTTTAATCCTTCATTCTGGAGACTGAGATGGCATTTTTCAATGACAGCATGAAAACCTTTATACACATTCACATACAGTTTTTGAATGCTCAGCCTGGAGAATAAAAGGCTTCAAGAAGACCTTAAAGCACTTCCCAGGGCCTAAAGAGGCTCCAAGAGAGTTGGAGAGGGACATCAAATAAGAGCCTGGAATGCCAGGAGGAGGGGGAATGGCTTCCCACTGCCAGAGGGCAGGATCAGATGGGATGTTGGGAAGGAATTCCTGGCTGTGAGGGTGCTGAGGCCCTGGCACAGGTTGCCCAGAGCAGCTGGGGCTGCCCCTGGATCCCTGGCAGTGTCCAAGGCCAGGCTGGACACTGGGGCTGGGTGCAGCCTGGGACAGTGGGAGGTGTCCCTGTCTATAGTGAGGGGGTGGACTGGATGGGCTTTAAGGTGCTTTCCAACCCAAACCATTCCATTATTCTCTTAATGTTACTAGGGAACCTGAATTCCCAGAAACTGCCCATTCCTTGGACTGATAGCACTCTTTAATTGCCTGAAGGCTTTGGTGATGGTGGTGTGACCAAAAGGGTTATGACTGCTCCTCTTCTCTTCCCTGGGAGCAAACCAGACCCATGACACCAGCACTTGAAGAGTTTGCTGCTGTCATGAGGGGCTTGGCTGAGGCAGAGTAACCCAGGAGAGCAGCACGAGGGGATGTCCCTGTCCCTTCCTGGAGTCCCTGCCCCGCAGTAACTCTTGTCCATCGGTCCTGGCAGGCAGCCCCATCACCCCCAACTACATCGACAACTCAACGTCCAGCATAGCTCCCTGGTGCACCTGCAACGCCAGCGGGAACCGGCAGGATGAGTGCGAGAGCTTCCTGCACCTCTTCACCAACAACATCTGTCTCCGTGAGTGCCACTGCTGCACACTGGGGGGCTTTGTGGATGGGGAGATGCCATGGTGCTCTGGGGGCTGCAGCTGTCCAGCTCCCTGTGCTACCAACAAAGGGGCTCTGCAGAGCCTCAGGCATCCATTTGGGTGATGCAGAGAAAGAGGCTGGGAAAGGGAGGCTTCCCCCAGTCACTCTTGTGCCAAGAATGACACAGGAACAGGCGAGAGGCAGTATTGTAGAAAGAGCAAAAAAAGGCTAATTGATTACTTATTATACTATATTATTCTATATTATATTGCCTTATGCTACTTTACATCTAAACTTAATCTGCCAAGCACTCAACTCTGCACACAACTGCACTCATCTCGTGACTGTCAGCCGACAGTCCCGACACACACACACACCTGGCCCTGACTGGCCAAGGAAACAAAACACCATCACTCTGGGTAAACAATCTCCATATTGCATTCTACTTTTGCACAAATGCAGGCACAGCAAATGAGATAAGAATTTTTCCTTTTTCTGAGGTTCAGAGAATGTGAATCTCAGAAATATTCTTGGGAAGTCGTGCCTTGCTTTTCTCTGTCAAGAGAAATATGGCTACATCCCCCTGCCCTGACAATCCTTTTCTCCATCTTTCCCACACCAAGAAAATGCCATTCAGGCCTTTGGCAACGGGACTCACCTGAACACAGCCGTGGCCCCGTCCATCCCCCCCACCACACAGATGTACAAGCAGGAGAGAAATGCCAACAGAGCTGTGGCGACCCTCAGAGAGAACAGCTTGGAGCACCTCCAGCCCACCAAGGTAGGAGAGGGCAGGCCTGGCTTGGGGAGATGATCGGCCATGTCTGTGCCTCCTGCAGCCTCCTCACCTCAACTCCTTCTTCCACTTGTGTCATTTCAGTCACATGCAGGCATCCAACCTACCCTCCACCTCCTGGAGGCCTGATTTCCCTTCCCTTCCCTTCCCTTCCCTTCCCTTCCCTTCCCTTCCCTTCCCTCAGAGATATGTTTCATTTGGAAGCACTGGGAAATCCATGGGTTTTCACCCAGCATCACTGGCTTGGCTCCTCACTGTCCTTCAGAGCATCAGTTCAGCTTCAGACGAGCATTTCAACTTCCCAGGACACAAGTTCCTCCCTTGTTAGATGAGGATTCTAGAGGTTATAATGCAGAGGTTTAAGATTTGCTAAGCATTGGAAAATTTGAAAGGTTCTGTTCAACAGTAAATTATTACTATCAAAATAATATTAAATTGAAATAATTTTAAAACAAATAGCACGTTCATTTACTGATGATGGCCATGATAGGTATTAAATATTTTATTTTTAAATAAAACAGAATGACCTTGACTTGCCAACCAGAGTAATTTTCAGATTCAATTATTTTCCTATTGAATAATTAACTGTGACCCTGATTTGCTGAACGTTCAGGTTACAGAAGCTGTCAGTTTTAACTAGACTCCAAGGACTGAGCGTGGGCTTTGCACTGGGCTGACTGATAACTTCAGAACTTCCAGGAGTGGGTTATTTTAAGGCTTATCACTGTTTCTTTTGCTGGGAGAAGACCTGATTCACCTCTCTCCACCCTGTTTTCACAGGTTGGTAGGTGGAGAAAAGTGGCCTCAGGTTCCCTCACTGCTCCCCAGGGCACTGGTGGCACTGTTGTAGGGTACAGGGCACCTTCACCAGGCCAAAAGCTTGGCACCCAGCAGATCTGGAGGCTTTCCCTCCAGCTGGTGCTCCCCAGAACTTAGAGAAATCCAAGAAGTGGCCTCAGGTCCAGCCCTAGCACTGAGCACTTCATCCTGGAGTGAAGGAGAAGCTGTGAACTGTTGGTGACCAGGACAGTATTCCCAACAGCAAGTGGGAAGCTGGAAAAAGCAGCTGCAGTAGAGGATGGCCCTGCCACATCTCCAGCCTCCTCGTGGGAGCAGCACATCCCTCCTCTGAGGTGTGAGTGCTGCTGAAGCGTGGCCACTGCTGGAAACTGGAGATTTGAGTCTTGACTTTGGACTCAGCTTCAAATCCAGATCCTGTTCAATGTTTAATGAGGTTGGCACCTCTGGACCTGAGGGGAAAAGCTGGTGAAATGTCTCCCAGCACCATGGAGGTATATTCCACACCCACCTTTAAGGTCACCAGGTCAAGCCACTGGCCAGCAGTGGCTCCATAAGATACATGGGTGGCCAGTGACCTGAGAGGGCATCCAGACCCACCTCATACAGACACCTCCAGAAGTGTCCAAACAAGTGCTGTGCCCACAAATGACTCTGCTGCTGTGACACCAACTTCACCAACAGCTGAAGAGCTGTGCTGACCTCCAGGCCAGAGTTTGGGTGCTGAAATCAGCCCTGGCCCCTTTGCACATGCACACACCTGGGGCTGCACAGCCCCGAGCCCCAAATCCACTGAGGCACCAAGGAGGCACTCCAGTTTGGTTAGAGAGATGGAGCCCCTCTCCTATGAAGAAAAATAGAGAATTGGAATTGTTCAGCCTGGAGAAGAGAAGCTTCAGGGTGACCTAATTGTGGCCTTCCAGTGCCTGAAGGGGCTCCCAGAGAGCTGGAGAGGGACTGGGGACAAGGGCTGGAATCCTAGGACAAGGGGAACTGCTTCCACTGCCAGAGGGCAGGGTTAGATGAGATATTGGGACCAAATTCTTGGCTGTGAGGGTGGGGGGGTCCTAGCACAGGGTGCCCAGAGAAGCTGTGGCTGCCCTGGGAAGCTGTTCCAGGCCAGGTTGGACAGGGCTTGGGGCAGCCTGGGATAGTGGAAGGTGTCCCTGCCCATGGCAGGGGGTTGGAATTGGATGGTCTTTAAGGTGCCTTCCAACCCAAACCATTTCATGATTCCACGATCAGCCACAGCTCTCACCCCACACTGTCTGCTTTCTCTTCCAGGTGGCTGGAGAGGAGAGGCTCCTGCGGGGCTCCACTCGTCTGTCCTCAGGGACCTGCAGCCCAGCAGCCCCTCCCTGCTGGGCAGCCTCTCTGCTGCAGATGTGGCTTCTCCTCAGCCCTGCTGTGTTGAGCCTCCCGTGATGTGAGGAGGGCTGGCACACACCAGGAGAGACTCGATTTGTGTTGGTTTCTTTACTGAACAACCAGACCAGTAACTTTTTCAGGAGGAGAGCAGGGAGAAGGGAGGGGAAGGGAAGGCAAGGTGAGTGTTTGGGCATCCCTTCCTCCTCCTCATCTGTCTGCCAGTTTATTTGATTTTATATGATCAGCATTGTTGACAACCAGCTCATTCTTGGTCCTGGCCACCTTTCCACACCACAGCTTGGTTGTTGTTTCTCCAGCTCTCTATGGATAGGGCTGAAGCCATGGACAATTCCCTTGGAAAAGATGAAGGAGAGAGTTGATCCAAGAAATGAGAGCTGCAAAGGAAATGCTTTTTCCTGCCCAGCCAAGAGGGGAAAGACTTTTGATGGATGGATGATTGGATCACCTGTCAGGAGGTTTCCTGAAGCCCACATTGAGGGGCTCTTGACAGGACACATGGGGTCCAGACAGTCTGCACAGTTGCTCAGGACCTGAAGGACAATGCACCTGGTTCCTTCAGACTGAAGAAAGCAGAAAACTGGTGGGAATGTGGTTGGTTTTGCTCACTGGAGAGGAACCTGAAGCACCTCTGGGGAGGACCAAGTAACCACCCTCTGAACTGGCTGGCAAGGATTATCCACCCTCTCAAACCCATGGCCAGAGTGCAACCAGCATCCACATCCCAGCTGTCACCTCCCCCGGGCCCTCCTTCTTAGGGAAACCTGTGTCCTGTATTAATGGTATTCAGGAAGAAACACGTGTGTTGCATTTTGTTTACAGCTGAATTTTTTGTGTCCCAACCCAAACATCTCTATCCACTGGTCCTGTTCAGTGTTTTGGGGCATTTTTGTCACATCCAAACAACCAGAGGCCAATATTGTCCCACTCCAGGCTACCCTTTCTCCATCAGGGGCCAATGTGTGAGCCCATGGGCAGGGTGTGATGTGAGCCCAACACATCCCTCTCTCACCTGCTACCTGTTCACCCTCTGGTCTCACAGGCACTGGGTCTCCAGGCAAGGGATTTTGTTGGTTTTCCTGGGAAGAGATAGGACAGGAGAGGTTTGCTAGGAACCACCCTGAAGACAGAAACACCCAGCCAAGAAAGGCCACATCATGAATTACATCAGGGGTAGGGACTGGATTGCTACAGTTTCCCCTCCTTGAAAAACTGGCAGAGGCAACCACCTGTGTCCAGGTGAGCAGGTCAAGGGCTTTGCCTCTTGCCAGTTTCTGTTTTTTCAGTGAAGATATCATTGGAGCAAGGGCTGCTGAAGTGACCTTTTCTTCTGAGCCACAGCCAGAGCCCAGGGGAGGAAAGTGAGGATCAACATCTCTCCAGTGTCTTGGGGCACAGAGGGGCAGGAGTGTGACCCTGGATTACCTGAGCATCCCAGGGTCTTTCCTTGAGGAGGGGAGCTGAGGAGTCTCCATGCCCTCTTGGGGGGCTGAACCCCTTTACTAAAGCCAGGAAAGAAGATGGTAAGGAAGAGTGAGAAGTTTCCCAGGATAAATGCTGACCCAGGCTGAGTGCCATGGGAAGAACAGCAATAGCCCCAGAATCCCCCTGCATGTGTTTAGGTCTGGCCTTTGCAGCAGTCCATTTATTGTTTGGTTTGTGCTCCTCCAAAAAATATCATTAATTCCTTGGCATTTGAATGCATGGAAAGGCTTAGAAGGCATCTGACACAGCAAAGTCCATGGCTTTTTGTTCCCATTTCCTGCAAAACCTCTCCCATTGTTTATTGCTTCAGATTTTCTGAGAAACTGCAGCAACTTTGGCTTTTGTTCCAACCAGAAACCACTCTGGTTTTCAGCTGAACACCTGTGGATGTGTCTGACACGAGCAGAAATCCTTCTGCTGCATCCTGTCCAAAGTGCTGCTCCTTGAGGTCCTCAGGGCTGTAGCACCTGGTTTTCCTGATCCAGGGCTGTGCAGAGGAACACACCAAGTTCCAAGGCTTGTGTGCAGGGAGACAAGTCACACCCTGAGCCAAAGGCTGTATGTGAGAACTGCATGGCCAAGGGGCTTACTCTGCTCAGGAAAGCAGACCAAGAGGGAGAGCTGCAGGCAGGAAAGTCCTTTCACGTGACCCCACACACGCCCAGAGCTGCTGTGAACATCTCCCTTTTATCCAGGGCAGCGGTGTCCCCTGAGAGACCAAGTGGCACAAAGCTTGTGTCCTCGCAGCTGCAGGTGGAGAGGGATGAAACCCTGCCTGCTCAGCCCTTCAAAGGCAAGGAACTACCTCAACATCACGAGGTCATCCTGGGAATTGCATTCTTCTGCCCCTTTCCAGTCCTGCAGTCGTGCACTGCTTTTCACACATCTGGCCCCATCAGACCAGTCTCCAGCAGCTTTCAGTTGTGCCCAGGCTGTCTGCACAGGATGGGGATGTGAGTGTCAGCTTCTTTCCAGGAGCACCCACTCCTGTGTCTCTCATGTGTCAGTGATGGTGAGGTGCCACTTTGCCATTTCCTGCTCATTCAGCAGAGGAGTTTTTCTGGGTGGTCAGGATGCCTGGTGGCCCCACCTCACCTCTCCCTTCAGACTGGTATGCTGTAAAAAGAGGTGGAGAATCCTACTCAAGGACTGGATGAGATGGAGGAGACTTCCAGAGGTTACCTCATCCCAGTACCATGTCCCACACCAGCACCTAGTTCACTGATTTCAGTGAGAGACATCATCATCATCTCCCCTGGATTCACATCACAGGATCAGGAAATGGGTCAGGTGGGACCTTAAAGCTCATCTCGTTCCAGCCCCACTGCCACGAGCAGGGACTCTTCCATTAGACCAGGTTTCCAAGCCCCATCCAGCCTGGCCCTGGGCACTTGCAGGGCTGTCTTGCTTTAAGGGCTCTGCAGATGTTAGTTGTCTCAGGCATCAGAGCCCCATCAGATCCTCAGTTCCCATGTCCTGTCCTCCAAGCCCCATCCCAGGTCCTGCCCTTCTGGAGGTTCCTTGGGGTTCACAGATGCTTTGGGATGAAATGAATGAGGCACAGAGCAAGGAGCCTCTCAACCGGCAGGAAACAGCTGGGGAGTAGGAATTAACAAAAAAAAAAAAAAAAATTATCCCCGAACTTTCATGGCTTTGTTCTGATTATTTGGCTCTTTTCACCAAGATTTAATGTTGGTTCTCCCTCCAAGCCTGTTCATGAATCAAACTTTGCAAAAAATGATGACTTTTGAACCTTTCTGCTGGAGGAAGCAAACATGATTCCTCTCCTCCCACCCACCAACATGTGTGCACAGACCACTGCTTTTTCCTTGTGAAAAGTCAGTAATTTTTTGGATGAAATTCCATCTCTGCTGAATTCTGTGAAGTGAACCATGGATCTTCATTTTTAAGTCTCTTGATTAACCACAGAAGTCATAGCAGCTGCTTGTAAAGGCAAAAGACTAAGTGAGCCAAGAGACAGGGAGACAATTTTTTTAGGAATTACTCCATTCCTGACAATTTCCATAAGCACAAAGAAGAATCATGGGAAAAAGAAAGGAGAAAAACCCCACAGTTAAAGAACCAGCCAGACTTTCTGTAGCCACTGAACTCTATTTTTTGGCTGCACAGCACTACTCCCAGTGGCTGGCAGCCCTGAGAGCCTGTGAAATATTGTGTATGTACTTATACCTGTCATGTCATGTCCAGCATTGTCCAGACGGGAGCAGGAGCTGGGAGGGAGACCCGGGGCTGGGAGATGGTGCTGGAGCAGGAATCCCACATGTGCCCCTGCTCGAGGGGAGGGTGGTGCCAGCCCAAACTGGGGTCAAACTTGTACTTACCTTTTCTGTACGTGTCAATATTCAAACATATCCATGAATAAAGCACACACGCATTTTCCTGAGCCCTCGCTCCTGCCTGCCATGCCAGCTTGTCCCTGTCAGCACGTCCTGGATGGTGCTGAGCTCTGCTCCTGTGCTGGAAGGGCAGCTGGAAGAAACTGGGGGATGTTCTCTGGGGGTTGAAGAGTGGTGGGGCTCAGATGAGCCGTGCTTGGCTGGAATCATGGAATATCCTCAGCTGGAAGGGACCCACAGGGATCATCCAATTCAACCCCAGGCCCTGCCCAGACCCGCAAAATCCCACCCTGACATCCCTGGAGCACTGCCCCAATGCTCCTGGAGCTCTGGCAGCCTCGGCGCCGTGCCCATTCCCTGGGCAGTGCCAGCACCCTTTGGGGAAGAGCCTTTCCTGATCTCCAGCCTGACCAGCCCTGGCCCAGCCCTGCTCTGGAGCAACTGGCTCCAAGAAAGCCTGGAAATCATCCTAAATTTAGAGTGAGGAGATTCTGGAGCACGAGAAGCACTAATAGCTGGAAGAAGCTTTGGCTGACCCTTAATTCTACCCTGTCTCTGGGTCTGTGTTTGGGGGTGCTGGCTCTGCCCACAACAAAACTGAGCACCACTCCCTCCTACAGCCAGAGACATTAAACAGAGGAAAGAGCACAGGAAGTGATTTTTCCACATTCCCAGAGAAAAGGTCTTGCCTTTCTTACCTCACCTGTGTAGCCCCCAGGACAAGATGGACAGAGCTTGGAGCAGCCTGCTCTAGTGGAAGGTGTCTCTGCCCATGGCAGGGGCTTGGACCAGATGGAGTTTAAAGTCCCTTCCAGCCCAAACCATTCCATGTTTCCATGACACACCAGAGCCTGGGGCAGCACAGCAGGCTTAAAGGAGAGACCTGCAGACAGGACCCACAGTCCCCATCACTCTGTGGCTGCAGACACAGCACAAGTAAAATCCTGCAGCTGATGTTCAACTGCTGCAAGGGGATGTTGAAATCAGAAACAACAATTTACCACACATTATCTCCAAGCAAACAGTGCTAAAATGCTGATAGGGATGGAGACATCCTGCTTCGGTTATTAAAACACTGAATTTCTCCAAAAATAGTGGATGTTTGCCAAAGGGAAAAGCTGCAGAATTATCTCTGACATGAAAAATGTTCCAGGCATTTCATGGGGTTTTTTTCTAAGGGGAAGTGGAAATTATTTCTGGCGGAAGCAAGGATCCCAGGGAACATGTCAATGGAAATCCTGCCAGTCACTCTGTTGGAGGCACATTGTGGCTGCAGCCTGGAAGGCAGAGCTGATAAAACAGGCAGAGAGCTGCAGGTGGGATGGATGGATGGATGGATGGATGGATGGATGGATGGATGGATGGATGGATGGATGGATGATGGATGGATGGATGGATGGATGATGGATGGATGGATGGATGGATGATGGATGGATGGATGGATGGATGGATGGATGGATGGATGGATGGATGGAGACCCCAGACATGGCCGTGCTGTGGTTCAATTCCCGATCCAGACAGTACTTCATGGTCAGCCACCACAATCCAGACCTACCCACTGAAGTTTTGCTTCCAAACTGGATTCAAGTTCAGCATGAGGACCAGGAGAGATTAAATCCCATCCTCCCATGGCATTGCTGGTCACCATGGATGCGGGAAGATCAGAAACAGCCCCTGCCCTCACAGGTTTGTGGAGCTGCACCTGGGCTTCTTGTAAGCAGCAGGGAAATAAGGAGGGGAAAGGTGCTGTCCTTCTTGGTAGAGCCATAGTGCTTCAGTCAGTGTTTTTTTGGCTAAATTCCCTGCAGATGTGGTTTCTGAGTGATGCACATGGGCCAGGAACACAGAGAAGAGGGGCTAGGAAGGGCCTGATCCTGTAGCTGATCATAGACTTATGGAATAGTTTGAGTTGGAAGGGGCTGTAGATCATCTAATTCTACCCCTGCCATGGGGACACCTCCAACTGCCCCAGGTGCTCCAGCCCCAGTGTCCAGCCTGGCCTGTGGCACTGCCAGGGATCCAGGGCAGCCCCAGTTGCTCTGGGCACCCTGTGCCAGGGCCTTACACTCTCCCAGGGAAGAATTTATTCCCAATATCCCATTCATCACTGCCCTCTGGCAGTTGGAAGCCAAGTCCTCCTTGTTCCAGCCCTACATGCCAATGAAAAACATCCCATTTCAATGCAGTTTGAGCCCTGAAATCTTGTTCTTTGTGGGGAAGATTTATCTCTTCTGAGACATCTCTAGTGCAGATCCCAAATCCCAAGCTTGTCACTGACTCTCAGGAGTCACCAAGGAGAAGAGGTGACAGTAGGACATCATGTACCTTACCTCAGAGCTTCCATAGGGTGATGATGGTGTCCCAAAATCCTGTGACCAAGGGTGTTGGGACTCTGACACAGTCTAGGGATGCGTTGCTGTTCCCAGCCACCCTGCAATGGGAACATGAGTAGCTCAGCCCACCTCCAGTGATGCTGACACCTGGGTCCAGCAGCCTCATTATCAGCCAGAAAAATCACCAGCAGGTGCTCTCACCTCATTAGAAAATCTCCCCCCACCTCATGCCTTTGGCAAGATCTCAGTGGTTCCATTCTGTCCCTGCAATCCCTGCTTTGCTGCTTGATTAGTTCAGAAACCAAAAACCCAGGGAGAAGTTCAAGAATCTGCTAATTCTTTTTTCCCAAATGGCAATTGGCTATGGAACTTTGGCTCTTTTTTATGCCTCTCTTCCCACCAGTGGGGGAAAAAAAAGGGAAATGTTGGTGTTTCTGCCATGTTGTAGATGATTTACCACCAACCAGCCATGTGGAACTACCAAAGAGCTTACCCAAACCACACCTCTCCCTGGGTGGAACAAACACCACCCAGCCTCCACTCCAGGATTTCTGGGGGTGTTAAATTGGTTTTATAAAGACTTAAAGTCCCTTCTTACTGTGAGTGGTCGATACTAAAGGTTTGTGGAAAGAAAAGCTAGACCTCAAATTCCTCTCTGGCTCCTTACCCAAAACCATTCATTAATGACAGCTGAAGACAAAGACCATCATCCTGGATGGACACAAAGCCTTGGAAAACCTCCATGCTCTCTTCCCTTCCAACCTCTTTTCTTTGCTACAACACAAGAAAAATCAGAGCAGGGATGAAAAATGGCTCCAGCCTTCTGTGGTTTTTCCTGCTGTCCAAAATAAATTTAAAGCAGCTCTAAAACCACTACCCCCTGCCCATTTCATTTCAAGTCTGGACACCCCACGCTGTGCTGTCAGCCTGGCATCCTCTGCTCAGCTCTGCAGCAATTGCTGGAATTGGGCTCCTGCATCCCAGTTTAATGCCATGGAATGAAGCAGCACAGCAGCCTTTGGAGGCGACTGTGGCTGAAACCCTCATGGCTCATAAATGTCAGGTTCAACTCTGCTTCATCCCAGCAGTGCTTAATTCCAAAGTTGGAGAGTGACATAAAAATAAATGGAGAGCAGCGATTGCGTCCCGGCAGGACTCGGAGCGCGGCTGCCTGGGTGTCACGGATCAAGTGACAGCTTCAGACAAGCCCTGCCTCAGGCACCGGCTTTTGGCAGCAGCTCTGCTTAGGTGGCCTGCACCTCAATCCCTCTGGCTCACAAGATCTTAAGGCTGGCTGATTAGGGCTATTATAAAATGTGTTATTTATTGAACAGACAGGAGGTAACAGACAAAAGGCCTTGAACAGTTCCTACACAGTACAAAACAAGAGAACTACTGAGAGATTACATAAAACAGTGCACAACATCAAGGTTATTGTTATATATTAAATATATATTGTTATATACTATTGTTATATATATTAAAGCTAGCAAAGACACAGTAGAGAACAGAAGTCAGTGGAACTCACCACCCATAGAGTACACAGAGTCCTTCCACTCAGCCGTAGAGAGAGTAACCACAAAATTGATGTCCCAGCTTTGGGGAAAAGCCCCACAAATTTCTAGAGAATGTGCAGAAGACTTTTGCTTTGTGCAAGGTTGGTGTAGCTTTTATAGTTTGTAAAGTGGAGTGTCTGTCAGTGAAAAATTACAGTTGATCTTTCCACATTCTTGCTTCCACAGCAAGATTTTTATTGTCGGCTAGTAGTGTCACTTCCCCAGTGCCTGAATAACCATGAGACAGGCATCTTTAGTGAGTTATTTCACCAAATGGCAAGCTTTTGTGAAGGGCAAGAAGCCTTGCAACAGCTGACAAACAGCAGGTGAGTCCCTGTGGTGGGAGGTGTCCTCCACCTCTGGCTCCCTCTGCAGCTGCTGTGTGTGTCTGAAACACCCGCTGGTGCCAACATCTGATAAACCAGCAGCAGAACTGCTGATCCAGTTTCCATGGGGGAGAGCTTTTCCTCTTTGGATTGAAACAAAGAAATTTACTGGAAAAAAAATTGTTAGTGAGAGTAAGAAAGGGAAGGGGCTGAGATTTTATAGCTCTGTTGGGGTTACATCAGGAGGGGCAATGGAGGAGCAGCTCCAGTTTCTGCTCTCTGGGACAGGGAACAGCTGGAGCAGGGCCAGGGAAGGTCAGGCTGGAGGTCAGGAAAGGTTCTTCCCCCAGAGGGGCACCTGGGGGAAAGTGAACCTGAGAAAGAAATGGAAACTATTTAATGACTGCCTTTGTCTTAAAAATCTAGAGATTTAACTCTTTGAATTACATCCATCCATCCCCCACCCAGAGGACACATCCCTCCTTCCTCCTCCCAAATTCAGCACCTGCCAGGAGCCACTGATACCCACCACCACCACAAGAGAAACTCACCCTCACCTCAGCCAGAAGCCTTCAAAACACTTGCAATTATTTCCCCTCCCATCTGAAGAAAATAAATAAGAGGAAAAATTTAACCAGATCATCTACTTTTTATTTCAGAGGAAAGATTTGCATTATTTACTTTTATTTATATACATGTACTTCACATTTGTATTTAAAATGCACAGACCTCCCAAGAATTTTCTCGTTCCGGCTTTAAATTAGCTGTTATTTTACAATACAAAAAATTATACCAAAAAACTGCAATCCTAAATGTGTGTATGTATAACACC